TTTTCGGATGAAATGTACAACATCATTCCAATTGTTAGAGTGAGTTGTTTTCTCACTTTTGTTGGGGTAGACTCTTTGCTGGCAAATTTTACATTTCTCAAACTATGGGTTGTCTTTGTTAACTATCTCCACAATTGATGCAATTGTTGAACAATATAAATCATCAACCAATCCCTGAATAATCTGTTTAATGCTTACTATTTTTGCTTCTTGCATTTTTTTTAGGGAGGAATTAAATTTGACATGCGAGCATGATCCAAAATGATTTCCCTCCTACATAAATATTATATTTTTTATTAGTGTAAAATTAACAATAAAATTGAATTAAAAATTTTAATATATGATGTATACCTTTGTTTTAACTCTCTTGGATCTATAAAATCTGGTTCAATGAAAATGATACTTGTCACTGTTGTTGCCATGCTGAGTTCTCCTAAAAAAGAATACCAAAAAAATTTAATTTGATAATTTTTATATTATGTTAGTTATATTTTGTATTTGCAAAACTTACCCTCATACATGTCTACTTTAAGATTGGAAGCCCAAATGATTGGTTTTTCAGAAATTAACTCTTCTAATTCTGATCCTTCCTTAGTTGCCAAATCATTCCACAATGTCAGTTTCATTGTTTTGCCACTACAAAATAAATTAATATCGGTAAGATGAAGGTATTTGAATATGTTAATATCTAAAAACGAAAACAATAAAAAATCTCATATGCAATCCTCCACCAAAACTCTAGTATTTTTTTTTTTGTTTTTCTTTTTTTGTAAATAACTTAAATAATACTTATTTGTGATCCATCAGAAAAATTTCTCTCTACATGATTTTCTTATTGTTTGATTTCTTCATTGTCATTTCTACCATTGATCTCACAGAGAACACGATGCCAATCAAATCTGCACAATGATATAGAGACTTAATATAACAAATAATAAATAATATTATTTAATATATAAATTATTTGCATATAAATTACCTATCATTTTTTCGGTCTTCACAAATGACTCAATCTCACAGAATTTAACCAAATTACACCTCACCATTTGGAGAGGAAAAGATTCTTCAATTTCTTCGATCACGTAGACAAAAAAAGATTAATTTCAATTTTTTCATTTACATTTGCATATTTGCCATTAACAGTTTTTACATTTCCATTTTCAATGAAATAATATTTATTTTTCTAAAGAATGTTTCCAATTTTTTCTATAACTTCGTTGAACATTACGACTTGAATTTTTGTTCCCTGCAAATAATATGTAGAATAAGTCATTTATTTAACCATTAAAATATAAACATTTAATACAAAATACAACAACAATCATATCACGTTAAAATTTATTTGTCACAACTAACCACATCAGTTTCAAAATTCAAGTTAATTAATTAAAAAATATAAACATAAAATAAAGAATCTAAGAGTAGTTAAGATAAAACAAACGGGAACCACTCCACATGAATTTAGAAAACAGATGCTATCAGTGAGTATGTACAAAATTAAAAATATATAAACATAGAATCTAAAACTAGTTAAGATAACAACAACCACCTACATCAAAATTAGGAAACATATAGGATCAGATACTTACAAAATTAACATCAATTTATAAATCTAACAATTAAAATTAATAAATACAATTTTTTTTTTTTGAAATCTCAGCAATGGTTTTTTAGCGGACGAACAATCACCTCTTCATCGGGTAAAATTAATTTCTGTATTCGCAAATCTTGGTTTTGGCATACTTCAATGTTTCCCTTACGAAGAATAAAAGCTTTTAATTTCCACTCCTTTTGGAAAGGTATGAGTTCTTTGATAAAAGAAGAGATTTTCGTAGACATTTTGGGAGAAAGAAGATAATGAGTTTTTAATTTCTACTCTTTCCTTTTATAAATGATTTGTAAAGGAAGAACAATAATCATACCTCTTCATCAACCTCATCGAACGGACGCACTGCTTCTATAAATTGTTTGTAAAGTAAGAAAGTCATACCTCTTCATCAATTACATTGAACGGATGCACTGCTTCTCTAACGTACTGCTTCTAAAGAGACACCTCATCCAAATAATAGCATCCCCTACAAGAGGTACATGGAAAAATATATAATATAGATGAAGGGTAAACTTGGTATATCTTAAAAACGTGGGGGCAAAATGGGGAGGTAAAGATTCTCCTCCATAGCTCCATTTAAATATAGTATAGATGTATGATTATACTGATACATTACAAAACTATATATTATGAGAGAATAATGTGAATAAGATTCATATTAAAACTATAGGTTAAAGTTTGATGTGAATGAGATTCATATTAAATACTATAGGTGGTGAGGGAAATGTATATTTGAATATGATTCAAATTTAATTTTATTTAATTAAATATGATTTAATTAAATTATAATAAGATTTAATTAATTATTAATTAAATTAAAATAGTTTTAATTTAATTAATTAATTTATTTATTTATTTATTTATTAAAATAAATCTAATTAAATTAATATATTATAATTATTCGTTAATTATGTTAATTTTAATTAACATAACTAACAAAACACCACTTCCCAGCATAATGCTTGGAAGTAGTGATGTGGAGAGTGGGAAGTTTCTCCCTCTCTCCCTCTTCTCTCATCCCTTTTAAAACACAGAGTTTTTCTCTGTGTTCGGTTGGTTGTTCGTCTTAGCAAATTTCTACAGCAAACAAAATCGATCTCTCTCTCATTATAATACAAAAATCCTTCAATTCCTTGAGGTTGTTTGGTTTCCAAGAAAACAAGATCCCACAATCCGGGTTCTTAATCCCAGAGAAAAGCAAGGTAACTTCATGGTGGTGTCTAACCTTCGGTTTATGAAAAATTGTTCGTGTTGTCACGGAATCCATGCTTGAGGAAGAAGATTTGCCAACGATCTTCAAACGTAAGTTTTCTTCTTCCTGAGAGGCTTAACCTCTTTTTAGAATAGAATCAGTTCTATTTTAAAAACCGGTAGTGTATTATTTCTAAATCCAGTCGAATCACAAGCGATCAACCGCTTCTGCTGGGGATTCGATCCCATCAATTGGTATCAGAGCCATATCATGATTAATTTAATTGTATCATAAGATGCTAAAAACATATCTACTTAGCTATTTATTTTAATGCATTATGAATGTATTTTTATTTTGAATTATATGTTGCATAAAGTATGTCATATAGTTTTAAAATGTCACCATAGGTTAAGCGTGTCATGCATATGTATATAATAGTTATATTGTATGATAGCATGATTTATTTTCATAGTTGATTAATATAAATTTTGTATTAATTAGATGAAAATAAATTTGCATTGAGCATGACATTATTTTAGTTAATATAATTGTTATATTAATGTATGTCGTCAATGCATGACTATAGGTTTAATTTCTTAAATTTTATAAGTGTTATAAAATTTTAGTTGATAGAAATTAAAATCTATAATAAAGAGTTGCAGACAAATATAAGGTCTTAGTTAATTAATTTTAAAAGGGGTTTAAAATTAATTAGATCTTAGGTTATATCTTCTAATATGATTAGGGGTAGTATTTTATTTTGTTTTAACTAGGTTTATGAAATAATAAAAAAATAAATATAAAATATTGGCTATAAGGGAACCTTGTCTAAGGAATGTTGTGTCTAGGTTGAGGTATTTAAGCTAACCGTCAAAGAGCACCTCTACCTAGGAATGGACCTGGGGGTTGAATAAGTAAATATGTTATATGCATGCAATAATGTCATTAGTTTATTAATATGTTTAATAAACTAAAACATTAATGTACAACTAACAATATAAATAGTTATATTTGGGCGACTAAAAATTCACTTAGTTAATTTCACTTAGCTGAAATTTACCTAAATAATATACCCTAGTCTTGGAATATTAAGTGGGAAAAAACATAATATGTAATATACTGCGTATATTTTTGATATACAAGGTACATATGACATATCATTTTTTCTCACGTTTCTACCTAAAGTTCACGCTGTGAGTCCATGCTCGGCCTCGTATCACCCTGCGCGCGGCCTCCCTACGGAAGGTGTTTGCATGGTTCAATATCGAGGTGAATGGAGATAGTATTCATAGTAAGTGGGAGAAGGACGTGTGACAACATATCCTACAGTCTCCACCATTAGTTTGCATCGTAAGATTTCATACATGACCTGCGTGTCGTTCTAGTGCGATCATCCCTACGGAGGGTCCATTGTATGGAATCAAAACCAAGACAAACTCCATAAATGAATAAGAGTTTCTTAGGTTATGCTCAAATATTTTCCTTCCCTACGGCGGGATTAATGGGGCAGATCTTCGAGCTCTAAACATGGTGGGTCACACTTACGAGGAATTGTTAAGTTGGTTAGAAATTTCCAAACCAAATAAACAGTGACTAATGATTATAAGAATACGAGTTATTATGGTGTAAGATTTAGTTGAGAACGTCTCAATTCAATGAAGAAGTAGTTGTCTGCCATACGGTAACTGTTGCTATAAATCATTGAAGCATCATTGCAAAACGATTTTGGTAGGGTGCTTGATTACTTTTGCTAAAATTTGATTGGGAATAAAAAAGAATAATGCATGAAACTGATATAGGTTTCTTTTTATTTTCAGCATGTCGACTTCCATTATTACTCTTTTAGCCGCTGAAAAACTTAATGGCGAGAATTACAAACAATGGAAATCGAACTTAAACATTATACTCGTGATAGATGACCTTAGGTTCATCTGGAAAGAGGATTGTCCTCAAGCTCCTGCGCCTAACGCCACCGTGGCGGTGTGCAACGCCTATGACCGGTGGATCAAGGCCAATGACAAGGCCAACGTCTTCATCTTGGCGAGCATATCTGATGTGTTTGGTAAGAAGCACAAGAACATGGTCACCGCAAAGGAGATCATGGACTCGCTGTAGAGCATGTTTGGACAGCCATCTTCACAGGCTCAACATGAAGCCCTTAAGTTCATCGATAACTCCCGCATGAAGGAGGGCTCGTCAATGCGACAACACGTTCTCAACCTGATGGTCCACTTTAATGTGGCAAAGATGAACTAGGCCGTCATAAACGAGCAGAATCAGGTTAGCTTTATTTTGGAATATCTTCCATAGAGTTTCCTGCAATTATGCAGCAATGTGGTTGTGAATAAGTCGAAGTACACTCTTACCACGCTCTTGAATGAGCTGCAAACCTACCAGTCACTTATTAAAAATAAGGGGCAGAAGGGGGAGGCAAATGTAACCACCTCCAAAAGGTTCCACCGAGGTTCGATCTCTAGAACTAAGTCTACGCCCTTTTCTTCTGGAAGTAAGGTTTTTTAGAAGAATAAGGTTGCTGGTAAGAGGCCCAAACCTGACATAAGTTTATTTGATTTGACGATGAGGTAGAGTATAAAATTACATTTTTATATTAATATATTAATGATTTATTTTAGTTTATTAATGTTCGTATTCTTGGTAATATAGACTCTTGATTGTTACTGTATGTGTCTTAACTACTTTTAAATTCCTTATTTCATGTTTATTTTTATGTTTATGTCTTTATTAACTAACTTGAGTACTTAACCATGAATATTTATTACTTGATTTGTTAAATTAATTATTTACATATTAGATTATTGTATTAGTTTTCATATTATAAGGGTTTTTGTTTTCCTATTTTGCTATTTAAATTTTAAAAAATTTATTGACAAGAGCAAATTATTCAGGTAAATATGTTCGTTGAGAGAAGTTAATCCATTGAATGTGGTTACATAAAGAAAGTGTTATCATCCGCATATGGTGTGATCCAGACTATGATATGAAACATCACAATCAAATGGTAGAGATGTATCCATGGAGGAGAATGTATGTTTCTTATTTTACCTTTTAAGTTTTCGTAAATTCATATTTTAGTTTTTTAAACATCATTTTTAATATATTTGGAACAAACATTTAATTTCAAGTGCATTGCACGTGATTATTGCGAGTTATAATTAAATAGCAAAATAGATTGGTTTTTGGATTTTTCCCAGCGCCTAGGCACCGCTACTCTACAGCACCCATGGGTTTTGGCAGCATAAGAACAACACCTAGGCGCTGCCCCACTCCTTTGTCTCTGGTCCGGGCAGCGTTGTCATCTCGGGTTGCACGGGGAACCTCTGGTTTTGCTTCAATTTTCTGGTACTCTTTCACAGCAACTCCTTGCCACGAACAACATGGACTTACAGACTTCATTTACAGAATTAAATGCAAAAAAAAAACAAGCCCTTACATTGATCGAATTAACGGAAGAACTGTAAATCTAATGTCAAAAACTGAAAAAACTAATTTTCAAACCACATAGATCAAATGTATAGAAAATATCCACCATAATTTTCTTTATAATTCAAAACAAGACCGAAACCAGAGCCTAGATCTGATACCAATTGAATGGATCGAATCCCACAGTGGAAGCGTGTGAAAGCTTCTATTTCGATTTTGTTTTAAACATACAACAAAGAAAAGGCATAAGCATTATAAAACGGAAGTAGTGAAACATACCTTTGAAGAAACTTCTTCAAGAATGACGATGTCGAATTTGTATGCCACCAAAAAGCTTTCCTCACTATCCTCTGGATGTTAAGAACTCGGTTTGTGGAAACCTTCTTAAATTGAAAGGGAGATAGAGAGATTGAGAGAGATGCTTTTGTTGTAGAGTTTGGAAACTCAAAAAACACCAACACCAACAACCAAAATAAAAAGGGAAGAACCTCCATTTTATAAGGAAAGAAGGGTGAGGGGGAAGTCACAACTTCCCCACTCACCACCTCTCCACTTCCCACCATTTTATGAATCCTTCTGGTTGAGTCATGTAGATGCTCTCATAAAGATAGTCATTCAGAAAAGCAGTCTTGACGTCCATCTGTTTATAAGACAATAGATCCTTAATGCCACCATCAGGTATGACGACTTGGGATTTCGTTAACCCCATGTAACGATCAAGTTGGTTTACAACTTTCCCACTACGTCGAGGCCCTCTCTGATTTTGAGAAGAATTTCGTCAACAACTCTTGTTGATTGGCTAACAGTGTCAACATTCTTGTTGTCGTACTGATAGCTTCATTTCACACCATTTTACTTTGTGGTTTGTGATCCCTTATGTGGTATTGTTCTAAGAAAGTGGCATTTGTCGATAGAAATACCTTATTTTGTTTAGGGTCGAAAAAGTAACCACCTCTCATCTCTCTGGAATAACCTACAAATAGGCATACTATTGAACGCGATTCCAGTTTCTTTAGGTTTGTCGTAAGCAGATGTGCTGGACATCCCCAAACTATGAAGTGTCTTAAACTAGGTTTACGACCTCTCTATAGCTCAAAAGGTGATTCCAAAATACTTTTTAATGGAACGTTTTTTAGATATAAAATGCAGTCTCTACTTCATAACCCCAAAACGAGTTAGGTAACTCAGCATAGCTCATCATTGACTGAACCATGTCTTACAGGGTTCTATTTCTTCTCTTCAATGCACCATTTTACTGCGGTGTATCAGATGCTGTGAGTTGCGGATTCCATGTTTTATCATATAGTCCTTGAATCTCAAATCCATGTACTCTCACTACAAGAAAAACAGGATATAATAGCTCACGAAAAACGCTATAAATGACTTTTTATAGTGTTTTTTTAGAGTCGTGACAGCCGATGCTATTAACAGTCCATGACTTTTGATAGTGTTTTTTTAGAGCTATAACAGACGCTATTATAAATAAAGAAATTATTGCATATTTATGTTGCTATGTTAACATTTAATAGCGTTTTATTTGACGTTATTATAGGTTTAGATAGCGATTTATTTGTGCTATCGTAAACCTATAATAGTTATTATTTTGGGCTATTATATGGTATATACAACTAATGAATTGAGCTATCATTAAAATGTAATAGCATTTTTCCCATGCTACAAATCATTCATTATATCTCAAATTTTGTGCTATCTTAAACTTTATTTAAGCTATTATATTGTATAAATAGCTTTATATTAGATTATTATAAATATCTATACTTTTTCCAATTACAATAATTATTATGATCAATTAGTTTTATACCATCTAGCTTTTACTATATAAACTTTGTATAATTTGATCAAATTGACTTAAGAACTTGCTTGTAGTTGAATAAACATACAAAAAACACATTAAATATATCATCACATCCCTTTTATAAATGAAACTTTCATAACACATTACATCGCAAAATAAAGTAGTTTACGATAGAAACGAAGTTTCATAAATTCACCGAAAGTAAAAGAAGAAAAAAGATCGTTAACTAAATTCAAGCATTGGCTTTCTAAGGTTCTTTAAACGATAATGCCTTCGTAATGGAATTCGCCAATAAATCTGTGTGCTCTTGGAATGGAGATTTTGTGAACCACATCTACCTTCAGGTGTTAAAAAACTATAAGTTTTTAGCAGACAGACAATAGTTGCCTGGAATTGCGATAGAGGAAAAATAAGACCAACATGAAATCAAATACACTGTAGATGAAAACTAAAACAACTAACACATTCATCCAACCTAATGCATAAATCACATGAATTTTAGAGCAGCAAATATGTAAGTCAACATGGAAATGAACAGAATAACCTTATCTGCTTCAGCCAACTTCTTGCATATCCTAGCCTTATGTTCATCTTACAAATCATTGGATTCAACAACCACCTCAAATATCTAAAGGAAACATCAATGTGTTACATATCTTCGTCCACCCTTAAGAACACGAACACTATATAGATTGAGAAAGAATAAACCTGTGCAAGCATCTAAGCCACTGGATATCCCTCTGCAATTACGTTATTCACTTCCTTGTTCGCAAGATCAAAGGTACCACTTTTACAAGTGGCAAATAGTGCGTTGAAAACCTCTCGAGGGATAACCTACACATGTTAAAAAGTTGGATACTACGAGTGCCCAAAATATGATCACCAAAGACAATTTCGTGCAAAATATTTCCCGATAAATTATTAACCATACTTTTGAGAACAAGATAAGAGAATTCATCCACTATTAAATTGCCAAACAGCCGAAAAATCTAGTATGAGTTAAATAATTGATGGCAGAATATAGAACACTCAAAACTCATACAACCATCTTTGGGTTGCTCGAGTTTTTATGAGTCCAAAACAAAAAGTTTTCATCCAAACATTATCTAGTTAAAAATCCAACCATCCAGAAGAAAAAAATAAATTTCACAAATAGTACTTATGATAATTCTCCAATGCCACAATTTCAGAAAGGACCATTAGCAAGCCAAGAAGTTCGGTTCTGAAAGAAGTTGAAAGCCATGGACAAAAAGGCAAGGCATATACAAACTTTTTTTTTATGGGTCAGGATCGACATTCATCATAGGAGCAAACTGAAGCATAACCATTTTTAACTATTTGCTTTCTTGGTATTGTAAGGATGCTATGACTTAAAAAAAAAATTGCATAACTCACCCCAAATACACTAATCAGATCTTTGGAAGAGATTGATGATCCAAACAAGCGTGCTGCTGACTGGAAAGAAAAAAACAAGAAGCTACATTACGAATATCAACATTCAGTTCCTAGCTGAAGGATGAGAATGTCCTCTTAATTATCCAGCATAAGAACGATGGATAACAAAAGCTAAGTTCTTGACCAAAAAGAGTGCAATGTTGCAAATCATACTTGTAAGTATGTGATAGCTCGATGTAGGTCACCTTGAGAGATTGGATGTAATGCTCTGCATTACCTATAAGGGTATTTTCATGACTTTATATTATTATTGTTTTTTTAGGTAAGCTAGTCAAATCTAATTAGCTTTATGCCAATAAACTTTAATCAATCCTAGTTAATAATTGTAGGCTTCTAATACTCTAACTAATTAAGCTCAAGTTAATTTTATTTACTTATTAAAAAGAAATTTACAACAAAATTTAGTGATTCATCTTATCAATGTTTAATTAATTATGTATGTTAATAGAAAATAAATATGCATAAGAGATTAATAAGATTAGCGAGATTATAATTGTATTTAAGTAACAAAATTAACAATACTAGTTTAGTAATTAGATAAATGTTGTGAAATATGGTAATTGTAATGCTAGCATTATTTGAGTATTTATAAAGTTTCACACATTTTACCCAAAGTTTTATTATAACGTAATTAACCAAGTAAAGCTCCCATTACCTTTATTTTACTCTTTATTTTTTTCTACCTTAAATAAATTAACTTAATTGAGGGAATATAGAAAGTTTTACTTAACTCATAACCATATAACTCACATTCCACTAACCACGATTAGGCAATATAACCCACCTTCCACCCCAGAGACACATGTAGTAATTAAGTTAGTTAGGAAGACCAAAAAATATTAACAATCCCATTAAGTAATTGGCCATGCATGAGGAGAGGGAAGAAGTTTGTTCCATCTTCCAAGATTCATGTTTGTTTCATCTTCCAAGTCATTCTCCTTAAGTTACCTATGTTTGTTTCATTCATTTTCCTCCAAGAACATTTCTAAACAAATCTGAAAATTTCCTCTCAATCATCTATCCTATGTTTTAAATCACACCTTAGAGGAGTTGTGGTTGCTTTTCGAAGTCCCTTCAAGGATCGCCCATTGCGGTTTTGTCTTTCGGTAAGAACGGTTTCTTTTAGTCTAGTTTTGTAAGTAGATTTTTCCTAATAATTTTATAGAATCTAAGCATGTTCGTATCCATTTTCTAAGGTTTCCATCATCATTTCAAGCTCTCTTAGTTGCTGGAAAATTTCCTCTTTTTATTCTTTACGGTAGAGAGGAAAACGCACGAACGGTAAGCATCATTCTTCCTTGTGTAGATTATTTTAAGGGTTCATTATTAAGATAAAATAGGTACTGTTTAGGCCTTATTTTTGTTGATTTGAGATCTGAAAATCAGAATTTAAAAGGTCCTAAAAATGTTCATAAAATTGCTTCATAACGGTTTTTAACGGTTTATGTTATTTTCATAGTTTTAGCTTGTTTAGTATCAAATTTTGGATTGTTAATTCTGAATTTTTGAGACCATGACCAACACCTTTAAACTAACCTAAAATGTATTTGAATGTATTAAAATTAATTTTTATGATTAGTTTTACCTACGGTTTTAAATTGTGAAAACTAGTGCTATGTGTTTTCTCTAGTTTTTTTGTAAATTTGCAAAATCAGTAAATTGTTTTTATCGATATTATAGTATATAAATCAGAGGCTAATATGAAGATTTAAAATTACTTTTCACAAATTTATATATATATTTTATGATTATTATGGACTAGGTTAATTATTAAGGGATTTCTACTAGTAGAATAGTGAACATATCTAGTTATGAGAACTTATTGGAGAAAGCTTAGTTTAGGTAATTAAGTCCTAATTTTAGTTGTGTTAATTGTTATTAGTTACCGCCTTGTATGTTTTGTTGTATTATTATTTGATTGTAAGTGAATTATGTTATGTGTTGCATTGTTTTGTTATTGAATTATGTTATTCATGTTGCTTAAATATATTTTGTTATTGAATGGTGATTGTGGTTAAATTTTATGTATTACAAAGCATGTTATGATTCTATGGCTTTCTCATGTCATTTTAAGTATGTTTAATAGCAAATCATGTTTAGGTAAAACATGACATAATGTGTGATGCATTGCATTTGTAGTGATGTTAGTAGTCTTATGTGTCATGGATTTAGGTAAGATTAATGTTATGCATGAAATATCCAAATTAAGCAGTTATGTTATGCAGATAGATGTATGATATGACATGTATGGTTTCTGCTAAAGGCTGGGCCCTAGGAAACAAATTAGTTCATGTTAATGATATTTATGGGGGGTAATTACCNATGTATGGTTTCTGCTAAAGGCTGGGCCCTAGGAAACAAATTAGTTCATGTTAATGATATTTATGGGGGGTAATTACCCTATAAATATTACATGCGGAATTGACGGTTATGGTATGGGGTATTTCTGTATAGCATGGCGCCAAATTAATGATTTAGATATGTAAGTTTATGCTAGCAAGCACAAGTATGTTAAGTTAAGTTGTTCGTTGGTTTATATGTTAGGTTGAGGTATGCATGCATATAAGCATGATGTGTGTGTTTTGAGCATGAAAGGTTCCTTATGATGGGAACTACTTACTGGGTATTTTTTTATACTCATTCAATGTTGTTTCAATTTTTTCTACAGATAGTTATATAGTTGACGAGAATAACGTCGAGGATGACCTGGGCATTGACGAGGAGGAGATATGAGACACAGTTGAATTTTATCTATAATCTATACTTTTAATTATGACTATACCACATTTTTACTTGTTTTATTTAAGGATAATAACTTTGCGATTTCCGCTGCTAAAGATTTATAAGTTAAGTCTTATTAAGTTATCGTTTTCATTTTTAGATGAAAAATACAAGTTTTTATCTTATTTTATTTTAATGAAATTATGTTTTATGAGTAATTATCTCAATCTTATATTATTAATGACATATAAAATTGGGGTCATTACATTGGACTTAATGTTGAAAGAGCCTATATAAATTTTAAATTCAGAACACATTGGCCATGCCAATAACTTTCTTCAAACTATACTTTGTAATGCTAAGCAACTATGAGCAAACCTTTCCATCTAGACTTAGACCTTCTTCATTACAAATGTGCAAAATAATGCTAAGAAACTATGATCAAACCTCTCTATCTAAACATATACCTTATTCGTTACAAATGTGCAAAATACGTTTGCTCATAACCTCTTCAGAAAGTGGCTTTAAACCTGAATTTTGCACGCCTGAAAGCAAGAGGCTCTATTATCCTGCACAGATGGACAAAGCACTAAGATGACGAAATGATATATAAAAATTTGCATGCAAATAGAAAAAAACACATCAGACTAAATAATTGAAGTCAAATATATGTAATAACACCTAATAAACTCACACACTACAACTAGCTTTTGAAGGCACGGGTAGATCATCAAGGATTTTGGGGCAATAGACGACAAATCACAACTTACCTAAGAAAATCATCGAAATGTTTCCAGATCAATAGGCAGTTGCTGTGTTCCTTCAATTGGAGTAAAACTGACAAACAACGTAAATATACCACTTTCAAAAAGGAAACTCAAAATAGGAAGAAAAAGAAGCAGAAATTAACAAAATGGCCCCTAACAAATTCATACATTGTATCAATTTTCTTAAAATTTGTTAGTAGCAACATGATAAAAGGAAATGATATATTAGATATGAAGCAAAAGTACCTATCAACAACTCAAATTATTTAATACAAAATCAACAAAACGATATATAAACAAAGTAGAAGGCGGAAACAAATTTATTAGTATACCGACTCTAACCAAAAAGTTATTACATATTTAAGAAGAGAAATGATAGATGTGAAGGAAAAGTACCTATCAAGTATAAATTTCCACTTTTTTTTACTTCTAGTTCTTTTTTATTAAACAAGAATTGTTAAAAAAAATGCACTTCACTTGCAAAACTTCTCATAGTAGCATGATGCTGGCAATTTTAACCTACTACAAAATTCCAATTAAATGATAGAAAATTAATTATTTCAAAACAAAAATATATAAAACAACACCCTGCTACATGTATAATAGTAATTGCTCTCAATGCATATAAAACTGCAATTTTTATGCAACAAAAGAAACACCTAACAAACTGTGGTATTGACAAGGCGAAATTACGAAACTTTATTTGAACTTCAAATATAGACTGTAAATAAATTCCCTTTAAAGATGCAGCCATACATTAAACTAAAGTAGAAAATGTAGGACTAAAGGGCATAAGAAATTATTTACCTCCCAATTGTTTCAAGTCTCGTGGTTGTAATTGGCTGTACAAAGGCAAGGGGAAAGTTTTAATCTTCCATATCACATCAATTTATTTGGAAGTTGAAGTAAAAATTGCTTGACTAAATTTTCTATTAATATAAATTTAACTCAATAACTTGGAGTTACCTTTAGTAGTCTTCACATCTAGATTTAGATTTCTAAAATCTGTCCATTGTAGCACCAAATAAATTCCCTAGCCGAGTGTATGCCAGACAAATCTATAACAGGATATAATATCCAAAGTTAATGTGTTGAACTAATAGATTTATGAATTACTAGTTCAAGTTCCATCAATGATTCAGAAAAGAGAAGAAAAATATAATCTATAATTATTATGGTTGCAAACTTATCATTTGAAATTTAGGCAGTTAACTATGAAGAATCAATCCACCAAGAGGCAATAAAATAGAAGTAATCTCTAGTTTTAACTAAACTTGCTTCTCTAGGAATACAGAGAGTTTTGTCACTTTTCGCGCCATATGCAAGCACAACCTGATTAAATATGTGTACAATCATTTAAAAAATAAAAAGTTGTTCATTTTTGTCTTGTCTCTAAACCTCGAAAAATAAACGCACGATATAAATCATGGAGATCCAATAATGAAATGAAACATATCCAAGCGTAATATTGGCGAACGCACACCTTGAATGCTATGAAACCGATGTAAATTGATTGACACAATCTGTTACAGGCTTCATATATAGGGAGTTCAAACAATAAAGATCTTTTAAAAGTCCAAATAAATCATTCTTTTAAATGGTTTTTTGAGACACAGGAAGTAAAAGTCACGTTATTGAGGAC